GTGATGCACAAATAAAATTCATTTTTGTTCCTAGTTAAGGTATTTGAATGTATTTTTAAGATTTAATTCCTGAGCTTTTGTAGGAAAAGTGTAGTTGCAGTTTAATGCTTTGTCACTGTTGGACGGAGAGCTGCGCCTGTGTGCGTTTTGAAGTGTTACATCTCTTATATAGGTCATTTATTGGAGTGAGAGAAGTGATGATTCATAGACTATTCATCAGCCAAATGCAGTCATTCTCCTCTGCGCCAGACAATCTGTGGGACTCTTCGTTTTCTTTCTGCCTGCTGTGTGTGTTTGTAGATGTTTTTCAGATCTATACATTGGCTTCAAAATGCATTATTTTTTTTATTTTTTTTAAACATCTCCGATAAGCAAGGTTTAAAGCAGGGCGAGACTAATCTTAGTAGCCAATGCGCCTTAAAAATTCAAACTGGTGCCTAACATTTGAGGTTTTCCCTTGTTCTTGTCAATGGAGTTGGCTCCCAAAACAAATCCTGCTGGCTCCTGGATTAGACAGACTGGCTCTTGAATTCAATATGTCCACCCCTGGTTTAAAGTAAAGTGTGGATGCTGCTACCACTGACTTGCTTCTCAGTATTCTAGTTCCCTGGCTGTTTGCTGGCCTCACTACTGAGACTGCCTATATACTGCTCTCTATTTGGACGCAATTCAACTGATGCGTGGCCCGATTAACAAACCCTCCCTTTCCCCGTTCAACAAAAGTTGTAAAGCCTCAGCCGAGCAGTGACTGCTGCCACTCGGGTGCAGCCGCTGTTCAGTTATTTTGACAGCAGCACACCCACCACTTGCATAATACAATAGATACCCCCATCCATGCTGCTTAGGAAATGAGCGTTATTTCTCGTTCTGCCCAGAGAAATCGCACATCGCATGGCCAGCTTAAGTCACTAATGCACAACAGGATTTTGTATGCTTACTTGTTAAGTGTTAGAGATTCAAACTGAGCAAGCCAGAGGATGGGCATGACAATGGTTAGAAGTCAATGACGGCAGCTTGTATATATAGTTATGTTTTAAACGGGGTTTCCACCTTTTTATCTTATTGCCACCAATGTAATATTTCCAGAACTATACACTGACTTTTGGGGGGCACGAAGGTTGCCTATCCATGCTGCACATCTAAAGCGTCTCCCTGCATGGCTGCAGCACCAAACTGCACCGGAATCCTGGATATGGCAAGACACCGGCAATCAATGTACCGGCCCTTTAATGCTCCGTTCCATTAAAAATACAGTGAAGTGAATGTATCAAAACTGGAGCAGACAAAATCTGGAGCAGCTGTGCATGGCAACCAATCAGCTTCTCATTGTCAAATCTTAACTGAACAAACTGGAGAGAGAAGCTGATTGGTTGCCATGCACAGCTGCTCCAGTTTTTGTCTGCTCCAGTTTTGATAAACTACATCACATTGGGGGGAATTTATGTGCTAGACACAACCTGTAAATGACCAGTGTTGCATGCGGTTAAGTATGTGGAGAAACATTCAGACCCGGTCTGGAGATGGTGCGAACAAGCCCTTATGGAGATGGAGGGTTACAGCTACTGTAAATGAATGGGAGTAACAGTGTCACCATTATGTCTCAATTACCTATCCTAAAAGTTGGGTGGCTTCAAGTCCAGTAAAATGTGGCCGTGTAGCGTGCAACACAAATGTGCCCAATCATTAAAACCCAAAAAGAAAGTGCTTTTGTAGGAGTAAGATCTTGAAGATGTGTTTTTTTTTTTTTTTTTTAAGCCCTCCAAGAGGGTAAAATGACAAAATCTATCCTAAAAGTTGGGTGGCTTCAAGTCCAGTAAAATGTGGCCGTGTAGCGTGCAACACAAATGTGCCCAATCATTAAAACCCAAAAAGAAAGTGCTTTTGTAGGAGTAAGATCTTGAAGATGTGTTTTTTTTTTTTTTTTTAAGCTCTCCAAGATGGTACAATGACTAAATCGGCAGCATTGTGGTTCTTTCTTGTAAGCGCTCTCCATGTTTGAACACGTTTCCTCCTGGATGCTCTTCCCACACTGCAAACCCATGATGACTCCCTTGCCTTTCACCCAATGAGCCCTTCTGTTGTGTTTTCATTATGACTGTGGTAGTACTTTTTAATAGGCAAGGTCTTTTGAGGCAAAGACTGGCTTGGAATGCTTTTAGATACTCTGTCATAAATGAGGAACATAAATAAACATAAATGATGCATCACATGGAAAGACAGGTTTTTCCAGCACAAATACAACAACTTTTACTTGTATATATTGATCGCCAGCCTCATGGAAAGAAACAGGTGTTCCCTAGATGGATGATGAGCAAACCTAGTTTCCCATTCAGCATATTGTACCTTCTTCACAAATGCCCAGGTAGAGAAGCCCTACATTACGGAAATCTTCACTATATGGCCAAACAATTGTGAACATCTGACCATTTTAACTATTTGAGCTTGTTGGACACCCTATTCCAAAAACCTAGGCCTGCAAGTAATGATTATTTTCATAATTGATTAGTGGGCTGATAATTAGTTGAATAATCGGATAAAACAAATTAAATATATTCCCCTATCACGGCAGAGAGCCGTGACAGGATCGAGAGGTGAGGGAACCCGGTATGTGTTCTCTCACCTCCCGATCTACTGAGCCGACCTGTGACAGTCTCATTGTCACAGGTCGGCTTAGAACTATGAGGTGAGTGGAAATCACTCATCTCATAGTTCTCCTTTAATTTAAAATAAAATATACATACGTCGTGTTACAAACATAAAGTTCACTTCAGAATAAAACTGCATGCACAATTTTTTGCAACCTTTGCAGTACTGTGCATTCCACTGTGGGTGGGAGGCATGTTTGGGGTGCCATTGAAATGAATGCCACTGCAACGCACCTCCCGCAGCAGAATTTGTCAGGCCGAAATTGAAATACGTTTTCCCCCCCACCTGTTTTTTTAAATTTTTCTTTTTTTGTATATTCTTTAATAACTTTAAAAAAAATAAAATAATTGTATTGTACGCACATGGCGCTTGAATAGCTTCAGCCAGGGAATGACAGCTGCCAGTGGCAAGATTCTGCAGACAGCAGCTGAATGTAAATACAGCAGGTGTTGGGCAGGTGCAATAGCCAGCCTGCTATTGGCCATTTCCAATTGCTATAGCCAATAACAGGCTGGCTATTGCACCTGCCCACTGCTTGCTGTGCCCTCCTCCCAGCATGAAGGAGAGAGCTAGGGGATACAACCAACTAATCGATAATGAGAATAGTTGACAACTATTCTCATTATCGATTTAATCAATTACTTTGGTGCAGCCCTACCAAAAACCATGGACATTAATATGGAGGAGGTTGCCCCCCTTTTGTGGCTATAACATCCTGCACTCTTTTGGGAAAGTTTTCCACAAGATTTTAAAGCATCTTTGTGCCCATTTAGCCAAAAGAGCTTTTGTGAAGTAATGTACTGATATCGGAGGATAAGACCTGACTCGTAACCACAATTTCAATTTATCCCAATTTAATCAATTTATTAGGGATCTGTGCAAGCACACAATCAATTTCCTCCATGCCAAACTTATCTAACCGTGACTTTATGGAGCTGGCTTTGGGCACAGGGACACAGTCATGCTGGAAGGGCCTTCCCCAAACATGGTGACACAGGGTTGAAATAGCACAATTGTCTGGATGTCTGGTGGCTGTAAGGATACTCTTAGTACAGACTGCAGTGGATGGATTTGGGGAATAACTCCCCGATATTATTTATTTTAGATATTTATATAACGCCGACAATTTACGCAGCGATTTACGTAGCTGCACATTCACATCAGTCTCTGCCCTCAAGGAGCTTCCAATCTAAGGTTCCTCTCTCACATACATACAGGGCCAATTTAGACAGGAGCCAATGAATGTACCAGCATGTTTTTGGAGTATGGGAGGAAACCCACTCAAGCACAGGGAGAACATGCAAACTCCTTTACATATGGTGACCTGGCCAGGATTCGAACCGGGGACCCCGAGTGCTGCAAGGCAGAAGCGCTAACCACTACACCACTGTGCTATTATTAAAAGTACTGGTTGACTGGTGCGCTACAGCAATACCTAAATGAAAAGGCGTCTATGAGCTGTTTGGCTGTACATTTCGAAATGATTATAACAAATTTAATCTGCTGATTACAGTTAAATAAAATAAATTGTATGAAAGTACGTAGAGAACATTTTTAAAGTGTACCTGGAGCCCATACTATGGATATCAAAAAATGTACATCTTGAGCCGTAAAAGAGATTTGTAACAAGCCATCCCTGATCTCTTTAGATGCTTGTACTGTGAAGTAATTCCTTCTCAAAGACTTTCAGGTAAACACACAGCAGGTATGTTATAAAACCAACTGAAACCCAACTTTAGAGGGCTGACAGACTGTCAAGATTCTGGGACAAAAAAAAGTAATAGAGGCAGAGCTGAGATTTCAGTGCTTCTCTTGTGAACTTTTTAGATAAATTTCCCCACAGTGCCTATAGCTAGAGGTAAATGACGGCTTGTTTTAAAGTGCTTTTACTGCTTGTTCAGGATATGTAAACAATTGTTTGTTTATAGTCTGGGCACAGGTTCACTTTAATGTCCTAACTGAGCTTTCAGTCGTTCACTGTCTTGTCTGGGTAAAAACGGTACTAGGTCCTAGCGTTGTTTAGTTCACCACTTCCAGTAGTGCTTGTAGTGGGTCTTCTATGGATCGTAGACATGGATTCATGTAACTGTATCCTACATGAGAGCCAAGAGGACAGTCTGAGCCGTCGGGCAGCTTGTGTAGCTCTGTGAACTGTATGATTCAAGTAAATTGAAATTGACAAAGCAACATGATTTGTATGTTTATCAAGTTCATGGAAAGTGCATTGTATTGTTTGGCATCCATAAACGCACGCGAGCATAATGTCACTGTAGGTAAAGAGATGAAACGTAAAGTAAATAATTGTATCTGTCCGTGTGGTACAATATTCCCTAATACTTTGTTCTCTTTTACAGTGTTGCGGTTTGCTGCTGGACTCTCCCCTCCATTCGCAGGATATGAGACTTGAAAGAAAACGATGCATACAGGTACATGCACTTTTCTAGACCTTCCGTCTTCCTGGTGTTTTTGGATTGCTTTGCTTTGGAAAGAAACATTCAAACCCCTAAGCAATTCTCCGTTCACCAAACTTGGAAATGTGGCCCAACATGTATATGGTGCATGTCGGGTAAGGTGTATCATGTGGTGTTTCGGCGGTTGCAGTTTCTTTGTTGGGTTTTTATTTATCTGTGCTGGTAAAACTAATGTTTTTTAACCAGTGGAATCCTTTACTTTGCTGGTGTCCTATGATCATATAAGGCCGATTTGATTGTTCAATCTCCATATTGTAATATAGTAATCCTATCAAGCGCTATCATCCCTTGTTTGGCTTCCTTTTAAAGAGATGCTTTATGGTTATGTGCCCTGTCCTTCCACCTTGCTGGCGCTCCCCCCTTCAAATTTGCCAGCAATTCCTGGCTGTCATAATGACAGCCTGGAGTTTCTGTGCAAATACAGCAGCTGTTGTTGAAAAATGCATTGTTTATAAACACTTGTTCTTACATGGGATAGAGAGATACAAAGTAACAGTGTTACTTTTGTATTCATTCTGTTTCATTCATCTGCACACCGTGAGATGAGTTTCCATCTGCAAATGGTATCCGTTCAAGCCACCTGACAAAAATAAAATAAGTTTTTTTTTTTTCAAATTAAGAGAACTATGGGGTAAGTGTTTTTCCTCATAGTTCTCTTTAGGGTCACAGGAGGACATATACTAACCTGCTCCCATGACACAAAGCTCAGTATATCGTGGGTAATACCGAGAGCGCCGCAGCCGGGACGGATCCTGACAGTACTGTTGAGATCCACCCAGCTGTGTGAGTGACAGCTGGCTCGGCCTATCTAGAGGCAGAGCCAGCTGTGGCTGCCCCCTCCCCCATTTGTTCGTCCAATCAGGGCTGGAGGATTGGGGAGCTGGGAATCCCTGCGGGGATCGGTGACTGTCATTGTAGGGAGACGATCGGGAAGTAAGCAGATCGGTGCATACTTCTCTTTTCCCGATCTACTGAGCCGACCTGTGACAGTTTCATTGTCACAGGTCGGCTCTAACTATGAGTAGAAATCACTCTCCTCATAGATCTCCCTTTTTAAATCTGTTCCTGTATATTTAACCTTTTATGTACCCTAATCGATGAATTAACTCCAATCCCAGAGTACCCCACAATATTGGGGCCTTTTTTCTAAAGTGCTGTTAAATGATTATCATAAAGCGCCATATGATGTAGCTTTGTAAAACTCACAAGTTGTTATCACAATCCTATGTTGTTTAAAACATCCTTCAGCGTAGTCCTAATGTCTTGTAACAAAGTTGATATTAAATATAAATCTCCACAGAACCACAAGTAAGGATCAATCACATCGTACACATTAATTACTACTAGAGAACCATTAAGGGAGACGAGGGCAGACTGCCTTGAAACATCGTCATTGCAACAGTATGCTGCTAATGTGCATTATAAGTGTAGCGTAAAGAAAGCCTTTACCAGCCCTTAACCGCTCGGATCACAGACATTTCACAATGACTTCTACTGCTTCGGTATTAACTTGCAATGGTAGCTGCCTCCCATTTTTTACACACACAGTGGATAGATCACATGCTTCTCCCGCCTCAGGTGATTGTCCATCTGCATTCCTTAAATTTGGATATAAGGTTCCTATACAGGATCAACCACAACACCAAGACAACTTTTACAGCCTGGACTCCAACCAGAGAGCAGAGTCAATCCGTCAGGAACCAACTACATCAACCTGTCACCCTAATACCACAGGCTTCATCAGGAAGGATCTCGGTGCCGCAGTTGATGTACCAAATTGAGGGCAAGAAGGAGGATCATTACCTGAGGGGGGAAAATCTATTTAAATGCTGGGATGGTCAGCATGTGATGTGTCCAGCGTGCATTACGGAGGACACCATTTCAAGTTAATACCCTACTGGTGGATGTGTTTGTGTAAGTCCGTGATCTGAGCACTTACGTGTTAAAAACTTCCCTTATGTTATACCTATAATGTACTTCAGTGGCAACCTGTTGCAATAAATATCTGTAAAAAAAAATAAGTCAAGGCAACTGGACTTGCTGTATTTTTCTTGAAGATGTTTCACTGGTCATCCGACCAGCTCTTTTAATTCAGAATTGAGAAAGCTGGTCGGATGACCAGTGAAACGTCTTCAAGAAAAATACAGCAAGTCCAGTTGCCTTGACTTTTTTTTTTTTTTTTTACAGATATATCATGACCTGGATGAATAAGAACCTTCACAGACCTGTTGCAATAAAGATGTTTTGAAAGCAGTCTCCCTCCTATGTCACCTTAGTCATATTCAATGTGTACTATATAACGTTAGGCTGTGGTTTCGGGAAGATTTATACTTAACATGAGCTTGTGGTATGGAATTATGACCGCTGGAGGAGGTTTTAGAGAAGAAAAATTCCTAACCCTTGCAGTGGGGCTACCCCGACACTGCAAGGGCAAGTACTTGTTTCCGTCTTGGACTGAAAATAACAAAGTTACACTCACCCGATGGAACATCCGTCATGTCTAATACACTGACTCACAGGACCTTAGACCGCTGGAGCGGAGGGGGAGAGATGCTTTGGGGACCGCTCCAACAACCAGCCGGCTAGGAGACTTGGGTGAGTATAACTTATTTTTTACTCCTAGACCAAAGCGAGTACTTAACCCTTGCAGTTCTTCTTTACCATGACATGATTGTGATAACTGGTTCTGACTATTACAAATCGACATCATCTGGTGCTTTAATGATTTAATTTAGCAGCACTGTAGACAATAGGTTTGGATATTGTGGGGCACTCTAGGGAGTAGAACGATGGACCTGTCTATTTTATTTAAGTTGGTTTGGAATAATGGTTCTTGTATTTAGTGTTTTGTTACAGCCATTAAGTGTTTTTTAGATATGAAGAAACTTTTTGTAATGTAAAAATAGCTCTGGGCCCTAGGGGTGTACCGGAATAAACATTTCATACCTGGACACAGGATTGTCAGAGCATTCTGGGGGGAATTTATCAAAACTGGAGCAGACAGAATCTGGAGCAGCTGTGAATGGCAACCAATCAGCTTCTCTCTTCCGTTTTGCTCAGTTAAGATTTAAAAAATGAAAGAAAGAAGCTGATTGGTTGCCATGCACGGCTGCACCAGATTTTTTTCTGCTCCAGTTTTGATAAATTCCCTTCTCCGAGTTAGCTAAAGAGCTAGCACCCGCTTCCATCAAGGCCAGGTCTGCGTAATCGGAAATGTGCATTGTGGGTGCATTTGATCGGGTAAAATGCTGCATGTCAATTTTTGGTCCGTTTCCGTGCTTTGGAGACTCATTTAAATATGAATGGACTGCCTTTAATTCATTGTGACACAACGCTCAGGATCAGAGAAGTGTGAATGGGCTCCCAAAAGTTTAGAGGGCTGCAATGTAGGAGGGCCCTGCATTTTCATGCAAGTTCTGCTTAAATGTGAAGCGTCTGCTTGTCTTGATGTGAACATTCTTCCATAGATGGGTACAAGTGTTACTATCGGCTCTTTTACTTATTATAACTTTTATTGCTAATGACTTTGCTACTATAACAATGTGACTCCTCATTTCACATGTTTAGTGTAAGACATCTAGAATTATCAAAGAACTTCAGGAAGTTTACTTTATTATTGAACGTCTGATGAGATTGATGATTTTACTGCACACGTGGCTTCCATGCATGCCGTAGTTTTCAGGATCAGTGATGTGCGGGGGGGCTTGGTGTGAACGGAGTTTGACCAAGCCCGTGCAAAACTGTACCCGACCTCCCCACTTCTGGCCCAATCCAATGCAATGACCAGCCCTTTGAGATACATAGCTACAGGACGGGAATGTCCCGGGCCGCAACTGATTGGGCTGGGAGGGAGGGGTATGTCGCTCACAGTTTTTCTTGGTGAACTGAGTTCGAACCAAGCCCCCCCACATCTCTGTTCAGGAGGCTCACAGTGTTCCAATGCAGCTTGTGCACTGGATGATGGATAAAGCTTTCTCTTTGTGTTCATGATTTTCAATCTTTTAAATATAAAGAGACCAAATGATTAATTGATTTTGTTTTCATTTTTATTTTGTGCTAGGAGCTTTGGTTAAAAAAATAACACCTTTTTTATGCATTTAGGTTTTGTTGTTGATCATGACATTGGGAGGTTTTGTGCGTTGTTTGCTTTCACAGCATGTCTAAGCTTATATGAAGATGAACTGTACGCGTCATTGTGCTTTTTGTTTTCTTTTTTGTTAATGTTTTGATTGGGTTGAAGTTCTAATGTGGTTCATTTTATTGTCAGTACAACCTTCTGACATGGTATTGTTTTGGATAAAGTTGGGAATGTATTAAAGTGACACTAAACTCGGGTGTTAAATCCTAAAAATAAATTCAAGTACCCGATTAACAAAAATGTATCTTATTTGTCTATCACTCGGCTGTAGATCCTCAAATCATCTCTGAATTGGTGCTGACACTGTCCTTCCTCCTGGAGGGTGACTACTTTTGTTCCCCATGGTCCCTGTGTGTTGTAAAGTAGTCACCGCTCCAAGCTCACTCCCGTGATGGACTATACTGTCAATACAAATTAATAATCTAAACATGAGATTGTAGTCCTTCATTAGAGTGAGCTTGGAGCGGTGGCTAGTAGTAGTCACCATACCAAGCTCACTCCCATGATGGACTACAATCTCATGTTTAGGTTACTAATTTGCATTGAGATTGTAGTCTATCACGTCTGCGAGCTTGGTGCGGTGACTACTTTACAACACACACGGGGACCATGGGGAACACAAGTAGCCACACTCTCTTTAATTGTGGTCGATGGACTCATTTTCCCCTGGTACCTAAAAAGTACCGTGTAGTTGTATAACTGGTTTGATTGGGTCGTGAAAGGTCTGAGAGTGGCTGGTCAGTATATTGGTTGATGGCGATACAAAACATTTTAAGGGGACATCTTGCATTTGTCTGGATTGTTTTCGGGCAGAGGT